AGAAAGCACTTCAGATTTGGCAGCACTCAGATTTGGTCAAAATTAGGGTTAATATTTGGTGTACATCAAAAATCAGCTAAGAATGATGTCACTGTTATCCCAAGCTTTCCTAGGGAATATCAATAAATGGAATATTATCAGGAATATGTTAATGAGAATGGAGGAACTTCACATCCACTTTATTTTGGGGAATTTGGATAAAGAAATGAGGGATTTTCTTTCAGTTCTCAAGTTTCAGCCTTGCAAAAAGCTGATATTATTCAGCACAATTCTGCAATGCTTTTATAATGAAGATTATATGAATTTCAGGGATCTTTGCTAGAGAATGTTCAGAAAATATCTAAGAAACTGATGCAGAAATTAAGGAGGAAATAACTATTTGTAAGTGTTCAGCTCTGCTGTACATTATTGAGTCAAGGGGTTGCCAGGGAAATGGAAATTTGGGAAAAAAAAGATTGAATTTCAAAGGAAAAAAATATATTTGAACAGAACTCTTAAAAAAATGACCATGGAAATTCAAATAAATTAAAAACAGGAAAAAAAAAATCAAGATTCTTGGAAATCTGGGAAAAGGCACCGAGCGCTGAAATAACAATTTTCGAATAGCCCCAAATCTCCATTAATTCTGAGACCAAAAAGGAAGCAATAAATGACAAAAATGAAACCCATCCTCCCTTATTTTCAATGCAGAGGTCTCAATAAAAAACATCAACCTCCTTTGTGTCAGCCACCTGAAGCTGAGGATGGAGCAATATTTCAATAATTTGAATTATTCAGCCCGAGTTCCTGTGCAGGAGAATGTCAGAACTGTAGCAAGATTGCAAATTAAACCCATAAATTATGCTTTTTGTGCCAAAGTAGTAATCATGTGACTGCACTATTTTTAGACCCTTGGAATTTTTTTCTCCAAGTGCCCCTTTTTCAGCTGTTTATTGAATTACGTAGCTCTGCTCAGCAAATTCCCTGATGAAAACACACTTAAAGTATTAAAAAATATATGGGAACAATAAAAATCAGCTCTTCAGACAGCTCAGTGCAAACCCTGCTGCCTCATTTGGCATAAATGGAATAATATTGGAAAATCTGGACCCCTGAAAATCTGATTAATCTCTCCATTAGCAGATAATTACTTACTAATTGAATGTAGAAGTATTTTTGAGAATTATATAATTCTCAAAAATTATATAATTCTTATAAGTATTATAATTGAGAATTTATATATTTATATANCAGGAGTTTGAGTGACCAATCAGTACAGAATAATAACTTGTTAATTACCAATAAAGTAATTGGCAATGAAGCTCCTGACCAATTGGAGCCACACATGAGGTCAGTAGAACTGTATGAGTGGTTTTATCCTGATTAAGGAGGGAGCAGATGAGGTTTCATCAAAAGCAGGCCACAATTTCCATGCTGAAATTCCAACAGAAGCCACACATGGGAAGTCCCTGGGTGTTATTGAATTAATTTAATAACACCACACAACTCCAAGCTCCACTGGAGCACAGATTCACAACAGCAGGAGCAGAGGGAGCGGCCTCAGGCTGGCTCAGGGTGGGCCCAGCAGGAATTTCCCCATGGAAAGGGGGCTCAGGGGTTGGAGCTGCCCAGGGAGGTTTGCAGTGCCCGTCCCTGGAGGTGTCCCAGCAATTCTGGAGGAACTCAGTGCTCTGGGTTGGGATCAAGGTGGGCACAGCTGGGACTTTGGGACCTTGGAGCTGTTTTCCAGCCTCATTTCTGGGACCCTGAGCACCAGAATCCCCCAGGCTTTTCCCAGAAGGAATCCCCCAGGCTTTTCCCAGAAGGGAATATCCATCAATCCAACCCCAGCAGCAGCAGAGCTGTCCCTGCCCCAGCCCCTTCTGGCAGGGAACATTTTGTGTTCCCCCACAGCCCCAAGGCCCTCACACCAACAACAGAGAAGGAGCCCTAAAAGGAGCTCCATTTTTGCATTTTGGGGGGGAAATTCTTCCTGGCAAGGGTGCTCAGGCCAACAACAGAAAGGGAGTCCTGGAAGTCCTTCAAGTCCCATTTTTGAATTTTGGGAGAAAAATTGTTCCTGACAAGGGGGCTCAGGGGTTGGAGCTGCCCAGGGAGGTTTGCAGTGCCCATCCCTGGAGGTGTCCCAGCAATTCTGGAGGAACTCAGTGCTCTGGGCTGGGGACAGGGTGGGCATGGGCACAGCTGGGACTTTGGGACCTTGGAGCTGTTTTCCCACCTCATTTCTGGGATCCTGAGCACCAGAATCCCCCAGGCTTTTCCCAGAAGGGAATATCCATCAATCCAACCCCAGCAGCAGAGCTGTCCCTGCCCCAGCCCCTTCTGGCAGGGAACATTNAGCTCCAACCAGTGCCCAGGGACATCTCCCACCATCCCAGGCTGCTCCAAGCCCCAATGTCCAACCTGGCCTTGGACACTTCCAGGGATCCAGGGGCAGCCACAGCTGCTCTGGGAAAACCATCCCAGCCCAAATTTACTTGGAAAATAATCACAAAATCATGGAATGGTTTGAGATGGGAGGGATCTAAAGCTCATCCAGCTCCAATCCTTGCCCAGGAACATCTCCCACCATCTCAGGCTGCTGCAAGCCCCAGTGTCCAGCCTGGCCTTGGGCACTTCCAGGGATCCAGGGGCAGCCACAACTGCTCTGGGAAAACCACCCCAGCCCAAATTTACTTGGAAAATAATCACAAAATCATGGAATGGTTTGGGATGGGAGGGATCTAAAGCTCATCCAGCTCCAACCAGTGCCCAGGGACATCTCCCACCATCCCAGGCTGCTCCAAGCCCTGTCCAACCTGGCCTTGGACACTTCCAGGGATCCAGGGGCAGCCCCAGCTGCTCTGGGAATCCCATTCCAGCCATAATTTATTTGGAAAAGGATCACAAAATCATGGAATGGTTTGGGTTAAAGGGATTTAAAGCTCATCCAGCTCCAACCCCAGCCCAGGGATCTCCCACTGCCCCTGGCTGCTCCAAGCCCTGTCCAGCCTGGCCTGGGGATCCAGGGACAGCCACAGCTGCTCTGGGAATCCCAATCCAGCCCAAATTGACTTGGAAAAGAATCACAAAATCATGGAATGGGTTGGGTTAAAGGGATCTAAAGCTCATCCAGTTCAAACTGTTGCCCAGGGACACCTCCCACTGCCCCAGGGTGCTCCAAGCCCCAATGCCCAACCTGGCCTTGGGCACTTCCAGGGATCCAGGGACAGCAACAGCTTCTCTGGGAATTCCATCCCAGCCCAAATTTACTTGGAAAATAATCACAAAATCATGGAATGGTTTGGGTTAAAGGGATTTAAAGCTCATCCAGTTCAAACTGTTGCCCAGGGACACCTCCCACTGCCCCAGGGTGCTCCAAGCCCCAATGTCCAACCTGGCCTTGGACACTTCCAGGGATCCAGGGGCAGCCCCAGCTGCTCTGGGAATCCCATCCCAGCCATAATTTACTTGGAAAAGGATCACAAAATCATGGAATGGTTTGGGTTAAAGGGATTTAAAGCTCATCCAGCTCCAATCCTTGCCCAGGGACATCTCCCACCATCCCAGGCTGCTCCAAGCCCCAATGTCCAACCCGGCCTTGAACACTTCCAGGGATCCAGGGGCAGCCACAGCTGCTCTGGGAATCCCATTCCAGCCCAAATTTACTTGGAAAAGAACCACAAAATCATGGAATGGTTTGTGTTGGGAGGGATCTAAAGCTCATCCAGCTCCAACCAATGCCCAGGGACACCTCCCACCATCCCAGGCTGCTCCAAGTCCCAGTGTCCAATCTGGCCTTGGGCATTTCCAGGGATCCAGGGGCAGCCCCAGCTGCTCTGGGAATTCCATCCCAGCCCATTGGAAAAGAATCACAAAATCATGGAATGGTTTGAGATGGGAGGGATCTAAAGCTCATCCAGCTCCAATCCTTGCCCAGGGACATCTCCCACCATCCCAGGCTGCTCCAAGCCCCGGTGTCCAACCTGGCCTTGAACACTTCCAGGGATCCAGGGGCAGCCACAGCTGCTCTGGGAATCCCATCCCAGCCATAATTTACTTGGAAAATAATTACAAAATCATGGAATGGGTTGGGTTAAAGGGATTTAAAGCTCATCCAGCTCCAACCAGTGCCCAGGAACATCTCCCACTGCCCCTGGCTGGTCCAAGCCCCAATGTCCAGCTTGGCCTGGGGCACTTCCAGGGATCCAGGGACAGCCCCAGCTGCTCTGGGAATTCCATCCCAGCCATAATTTACTTGGAAAATAATCACAAAATCATGGAATGGTTTGGGTTAAAGGGATTTAAAGCTCATCCAGCTCCAATCCCTGCCCAGGAACATCGCCCACCATCCCAGACTGCTCCAAGCTCCAATGTCCAACCTGGCCTTGAACACTTCCAGGGATCCAGGGGCAGCCACAGCTGCTCTGGGAATCCCATTCCAGCCCAAATTTACTTGGAAAATAATCACAGAATCATGGAATGGGTTGGGTTAAAGGGATCTAAAGCTCATCCAGCTCCAACCAGTGCCCAGGGACATCTCCCACTGCCCCAGGTTGCTCCAAGCCCTGTCCAGCTTAGCCTGGGACACTTCCAGGGATCCAGGGGCAGCCCCAGCTGCTCTAGGAATCCCATTCCAGCCCAAATTTACTTGGAAAATAATCACAAAATCATGGAATGGTTTGGGTTAAAGGGATCTAAAGCTCATCCAGCTCCAATCCTTGCCCAGGGACATCTCCCACCGTCTCAGGTTGCTCCAAGCCCTGTCCAGCCTGGCCTGGGGATCCAGGGGCAGCCCCAGCTGCTCTGGAATCCCATCCCAGCCCCTCCCCACCTTCCCAGGCAGGAATCCCTTCCCAAACCCCACCTACATCTCCCCTCCCTCACCTTCCAAGACCATCTTGTGCTCGAGGAACAACTCCTCGACGTTTCAGAGCAGAAGGAAGGAGCTGAGTCAGGAACTCCCTGCACATCCTGGCCAGAGTGCACCAAGCCCAGCCCAGCCCCTGGGGCGGCCTTACCTGATGTACAGAACTCCACTTTGGTCCACCCTCCGCTGCCAACCAACGGGAACTTGCACTGCTGGTGGCCCTCCATCCGTGTCCCCTCCGTCACACTCCTTGCCACCATTCATTTTCCTGTTTCTGGTTAGGAGTCTTCAGAGATATCAACAGGAAGGTGATATCCTCTCACTACATGTCATCCTGGCCTCCCAGAGCAGGCCCTGCAGCACAGCTTCCCCCAAATCCTACAAAGTGCATCGGGAGGCTCCAGCTCAGTTTGAAACCAAGTCCTCAAAAGTGGCCATTTTGGTTAATGAGTCACTTTCCCATTATAATCCACATTAAATATGCAATGTTTAACTCCTTATATATTCATAAGGATGAACTATATAGATAAAAATTAGTGCTTCCAACTTGGGAAAATCATAATTCACCAATCCTTTGTTACCTGTCAGAAAGGAGAATGGGGAAAAGGAGAATTTCTAGTTCAACAGCATGATGGCTCCAAGCTTGATGACTGTCTCAGATAACTTGTGTTTTGTGAAAGCTCGTCTCATTTTTATAAATATGAGTCAGATCCAATACCTCCAGGTATTACACCCTTTATATGCCACATTCTTTTTGTTTTCTTTTTTTTATCTTCTGGCCATGATCCAAGTTGTCTTCTTGAGGTTCTTTGCTGACTCCTTGGCTCCAATCAAACAGCCTGAAAAATAAAGATGTGGAAAACAACGTGAGCCCTCCTCTCCAGCCCAGTGCAGCAGCTCAGGGAGATGTTTACAGCTGCAGCCATTTCCAGAGCTTCAAATCAAAGTTTGAAATGTCAATGGAACCATCAAAACAAGGCTCAGAGCAAACAGAATCCTGCCAGCATTTTCTATTTATACGTGGATGTAATTGAGCTACATCTTAAAAGCTACAAGAGTGCAAGTGCTGTTAAATAGTTGATGTGGAGTTGGGGTGAATTAAGGGATGCATCTTTTCACTGAATATTTTCACATATGCTTCTGTTCACAACCATCACAGATGACTAAATTAATGCCCTTTAAAAATTGTTTAGAAAACTGAATGAATTTCATGTGAGGGAAGCTGCTTCCAGGCTTTGGTAATACCCATAAAAATGCAAACCTCTTGCTTTTCGACTGAATTAAAATAATCATCCCACCAAAAAACTGGGTAATAAAAAGGGAAAAGCCAGCAGCAGCAACTGATCTCTGAATACCTTTGAAACAATCTGAATATCCTCAGGAATAATTCCCCTCAGAGATTTCCTCTCATGACAGAAGTTGAGTCATTCCCCCCAAAATAGTTTTTTCAAGCTGACCAGGGGGAGACTTAACACTTGAGACTGGACATTTAATTAAGGTGAGACAAATGTGGAATATGGGATTTCAACAGTAAATACACCAGAAAAAGGCAACAATCCTAAATTCAAATCTAGGAAAAGCAACAATCCTAAATTTAAATATAGCATGGCATGCATGACTGCTGTAGCAACATCATTAGGAGAGTTTATTTGGAATCAGGTGTCAATCCTGCCTTATTCCCAACACTAACATTATGCCAACATGTTAAAACATAATAAATGTTATAGACCTGACTGATTTTAATAAGAAAAGATTTTTTTTTTTAAAAGCCAGAAATGGAACATAAAGACATTTCTGCAATAACACCACATTACATCTATATTTAACAGTAATAACAGCTCCTTCCTTCAAGACCACTAAAGGAAGACTACAGAGGCATAAATATAGTCCTGGAAAATATTCCCTTAAGTACCCTCATGCAGAACATTCCCTTTACAAGTGCTGCTTAGAAATGTAAAGTTCCAAACGCTCCAAAAATATAAAAAAAACCTCACCAGGGTATTTCCAAGCAGGCTGTGGATAAAAGGAGCTGCTTGGCCAGACCCCCTTCACTGAGGGGCTGGAATCTAAATTGGCCAAAGGCTGCAATCTTGGATGGTGCAGGAAGGTAGAAAAACATAAAGAAAGGCTTTATAAAATCAAACCTGCTCTGTTATATCAGAAAATTCACAAAAGGAGCTGGCCTGTCATTGCTTCTGAGGAAAGCTGGCACTTTGCAGGCTCCCAGGTGAAAGCAATCCTGGTGTGGGCAGGTCCTTAACACAACAATCTATTGCTGGGTGAAAAACAGCTTACACCTGTATAGAAACTGGTTTGGATTATTTTGGGTTAAAATCAACTTACTCCTGTAGAAAATGTTTTTGCTTATTTTTGGGTGAAAAACAACTTACACCTGTATTTCAACTAGTTTTGCTTATTGCTGGGTGAAAAACAACTTATACCTGTATATAAACTAGTTGTGCTTATTGCTGGGTTAAAATCAACTTATCCCCGTGTTAACTGTTTTTGCTTATTCCTGGGTTAAAATCAACTTACACCTGTAGAAACTGTTTCTGTTTATTCCTAGATGAAAATCAACTTACACCTGTACACAAACTGGTTTTACCTATTCCTGGGTCAAAAACAACTTACACCTTTATAAACTGTTTTTGCTTATTCCTGAGTGAAAAACAACTTACACCTGTATAAAGTGGTTTTGCTTATTCCTAGATGAAAATCAACTTATACCTGTATATCAACTATCTTTGTTTATTGCTGGGTGAAAATCAACTTACACCTGTGCATAAACTGTTTTTGCTGATTGCTGGGTTAAAATCAACTTATCCCTGTGTTAACTGTTTTTGCTTATTGCTGGGTTAAAATCAACTTACACCTGTAGAAACTGCTTCTGTTTATTCCTGGCTGAAAAACAATTTACACCTGTATAAAGTGGTTTTGCTTGGTGCTGGATGAGAATAACTTACACCTGTATATAAACTAGTTTTGCTTATTCCTAGATGAAAATCAACTTATACCTGTATATCAACTAGTTTTGATTATTGCTGGGTGAAAAACAACTTACACCTGTATTTCAACTGGTTTTGCTTATTGCTGGGTGAAAAACACCTTACACCTGTGCATAAACTGTTTTTGCTGATTGCTGGGTTAAAATCAACTTATCCCTGTGTTAACTGTTTTTGCTTATTCCTGGGTTAAAATCAACTTACACCTGTAGAAACTGCTTCTGTTTATTCCTGAGTGAAAAACAACTTACACCTTTATAAACTGGTTTTGCTTATTCCTGAGTGAAAAACAACTTACACCTGTATATCAACTAGTTTTGCTTATTCCTAGATGAAAAACAACTTACACCTGTACACAAACTGGTTTTGCCTATTCCTGGGTCAAAAACAACTTACACCTGTAGAAACTGCTTCTGTTTATTCCTGAGTGAAAAACAACTTACACCTGTATAAAGTGGTTTTGCTTATTGCTGGGTGAGAATAACTTACACCTGTATATAAACTAGTTTTGCTTATTCCTAGATGAAAATCAACTTATACCTGTATATCAACTATCTTTGTTTATTGCTGGGTGAAAATCAACTTACACCTGTATTTCAACTGGTTTTGCTTATTGCTCTGTGAAAAACACCTTACACCTGTGCATAAACTGTTTCTGCTGATTGCTGGGTTAAAATCAACTTATCCCTGTGTTAACTGTTTTTGCTTATTCCTGGGTTAAAATCAACTTACTCCTATAGAAACTGTTTTTGCTTANAAAAATGCATTGGAAAACTTGGGAAGAGGGCAGGAATGAACTTCATGGAAGCTGTTGTGTAAATGGGGGAAATGAAGTTTACAAGCTGAGTGGGATCATCGGCTAAATAAAAGCACCAGAAAATTCACCAAGGAATAAAAAAATACACTGGAAAACTTGGGAAGAGGGCAGTAAAGAGTTTCATTAATGCTGTTGTGTAGAAGTTTTTAGTGTTGTGGAAAACCAAATTCAAAAGCTGAGTGGGGTCATCAGGTACATAAACTACCAGAAAATTCAATAATCAGAAAATTGTAAGAAAAAAAAAATTATAAAATAATATTATAAAATAAATTCCATAGAATCATGGAATTCAAAGACTAAAAAAAATACATTGGAAAATGGCAGGAATAACATTTACTTCTCCAAAGCTGTTGTGTAAAACTTGATAGGGCTGGGGGAAATTAAGTTCAAAAGTTGCATGGGATCATCAGGTACATAAAAGCACCAGAAAATTCACCAAGGAATAAAAAAATACATTGGAAAACTTGGGAAGAGGGCAGTAAATGTTAATGCTGTTGTGTAGAATTTTTTAGGGTTGTAGAAAATTAAGTTTAAAAGCTCAGTGGGGTCATCTGGTAAATAAACTACCAGAAAACTCACTATTCANTCCTTGGAAGGGATTTGCCAAACATGAAACATTTTTTTTAAAATATATATAATTTTATGTATATTCAAACATGATACATTTATTCTATATATACATATATTTCATATATATATATATTTTATATATATCCAAACATGATACATTTATTTTACATACACATATATTTTATATATACATATATTTTGTATATACATATATTTCATATATGTATATAAATTGCATATATGTATATATCCAAACATGATACATTTATTTTACATATACATATATTTTACATATACATATATTTCATATATGTATATAAATTGCATATATATATATATCCAAACATGATATATTTATTATATATATTTATATATTTATATGTATATTCATTGATGTTATTTATCCAAACATGATACATTTATTTTACATATTTTTATATGTATATTTATTTGTGTTATTTATCCAAGAATGATACATTTATTTTATATATACATACATTTATATGTATATTTATTTATGTTATTTATCCAAACATGATAAATTTATTTTATATTTATATATTTATAGGTATATTCATTGATGTTATTTATCCAAACATGACACATTTATTTTATATATACATACATTTATATATATTTATTTATGTTATTTATGCAAACATGACACATTTATTTTATATCTATTTATATGTATATTTATTTGTGTTATTTATCCAAACATGATACATTCATTATATACATATATTTAATATATACATATATTTTATATATACATATATTTCATATATATCCAAACATGACACATTTATTTTATATATATGCATATATTTATATGTATATTTATTTATGTTATTTATCAAAACATGATACATTTTATACATATTTATATGTACATTTATTTGTGTTATTTATCCAAACACGATACATTTATTATATACATATACACATATTTAATATATACATATATTTTATATATAGATATATTTCATATATATCCAAACATGACACATTTATTTTATATATACATCTATTTACATGTAGATTTATTTATGTTATTTATCCAAACATGATACATTTATTTTATATATATTTATATATTTATATGTATATTTATTTGTGTTATTTATCCAAACATGACACATTCATTATATATATATATATTTAATATATACATAAATATTATATATACATATATTTCACATATATCCAAACATGACACATTTATTTTATATATATACATATATTTATATGTATATTTATTGATGTTATTTATCCAAACATGATACATTTATTTTATATATACATATTTCCATATGTATATTTATTGATGTTATTTATCCAAACATGATACATTTATTCTATATATGCATATATTTATATGTATATTTATTTATGTTATTTACCCAAACATGATATATTTACTTTATAAATACATATATTTATATGTATATTCATTTGTGTTATTTATCCAAACATGACACATTTATTTTATATATACATACATTTATATGTATATTTATTTATGTTATTTTCCCCAAACAGGATATATTTATTTTATAAATACATATATTTATATGTATATTTATTTGTGTTATTTATCCAAACATGACACATTTATTTTATATATGCATACATTTATATGTATATTTATTTATGTTATTTATCCAAACATGATACATTTATTATATATATATACATATATTTAATATATTAATATATTTTATATATACATATATTTCATATACATCCAAAGATGACACATTTATTTTATATATACCTATATCTATAGGTATATTTATTGATGTTATTTATCCAAACACGATACATTTATTTTTATATATATTTATATGTATATTTATTTATGTTATTTATCTAAACATGATACATTTATTCTATATATGCATATATTTATATGTATATTCATTGATGTTATTTATCAAAACATGACACATTTATTATATATATACATATATTTCATATATATCCAAAGATGACGCATTTATTTTATATATACATCTATTAATATGTATATTTATGTTATTTATCCAAATATGATACATTTATTCTATATATGCATATAAGCATATGTATATTTATTGATGTTATTTATTCAAACATGACACATTTATTTTATGTTTATACATATATCTATATGTATATTTATTTATGTTATTTATCCAAACACGATACATTTATTTTATATATATTTATATGTATATTTATTTGTGTTATTTATCCAAACATGACACATTTATTTTATATATACATATTTCTATATGTATATTTATTTATGTTATTTATCCAAACACGATACATTTATTTTTATATATATTTATATATTTNGGCCTTGAACACTTCCAGGGATCCAGGGGCAGCCCCAGCTGCTCTGGGAGTCCCAATCCAGCCCAAATTTACTTGGAAAATAATCACAAAATCATGGAATGGTTTGGGTTAAAGGGATCTAAAGCTCATCCAGTTCAAACTGTTGCCCAGGGACATCTCCCACTGCCCCAGGCTGCTCCAAGCCCCAATGTCCAACCTGGCCTTGGGGCACTTCCAGGGATCCAGGGGCAGCCACAGCTGCTCTGGGAATCCCATCCCAGCCCAAATTTACTTGGAAAAGGATCACAAAATCATGGAATGGGTTGGGTTAAAGGGATCTAAAGCTCATCCAGCTCCAACCAGTGCCCAGGGACATCTCCCACTGCCCCTGGCTGCTCCAAGCCCTGTCCAGCCTGGCCTGGGACACTTCCAGG